ACTATTTCGAATACAAGCAAACAAAAATCAAATTCTCATTTATTAAAACAAATCGAAAACGATGTGATGAAAAGTGAAGGAAAAAACACAATTATATTTGAAGTGATGCTGAAGGTTTTCATGATTCATGGACTCTATTTGTTGATAAAATCATCACATCTCGTCCATCTGAAGTATAATCATCGAATAAGTTTTCGTTAAATTTTTATTTTATTCTTGTTTTTTAGGAAGAACAAAAAAAATCGATGAATTTTTAGCTAAAAATAAGAAAGCTAAACGATCTGTATTTGATGACCAAAAATGGACAAATATCAGCTTGTGATCCTGAGTCAATAACATTATATAAAGAACTTGAAGATTTATCGTCAACAATATTACATATTAAAGATCCATATGATTGTAAAGGTCGATCATTTCTTCATACATATACAAGACATACAAAAGTTCTACAAAAATTCATTATTTTCCTGTTTTCTCTCATCTATCTCTTGTTCAATGGGTTGTAAAGTTAAAGTAAATCAAATTAAATAAAGAGAAAAACAAAGTAAAGGAATTATTTTTTTTTTGTATTTTCAGTTATAGGAATTTATAACGAACGTCGTTGTATTCCGACCTGTACTGGACATAGCCAAACTGTAGGTGATGTTAGTTTTAATAATACAGGAATAGAATTTCATTGCGCTTCATATGAATATTAATCTTTTGTTTAGTTTGATATTCGAAATAGTCATGTTGTACAAGAATATGATCGAGATTTAGGTGTTATGGATAAAGTAACATTTGTTGATAGAAATCGTCGTATTGTTTCAACATCTGACGATAGAAGTATTTGTGCATGAGAATGGTAAGAAAGAGTTGTTTAGAAATATTTTTTAATCAAAGTATTAATTATTGTTAAGGAATATTGTTAGTGATTTTAAATATACCGTTAATCCTATTATTTATGTATTCAACATCTAATGTTATTCAATGACCAAATGGTTGGTTTAGTTTGATATTTTAATTTAAATCTATATTTAATTTTTCGGATCAATATTTGGCATTTCGGTGTATAACCAAATTTGGATAATGGAACCATGAATCAATTTTTAATAGAAAAGTAAAAAAAATGCAGAGATCATTTGAAAATATTATTTATTTATGATTCAAATAAATTGATATTTCTATTGATAGGGATTTGGCTTTGCATGTAGTCTTTTTGTCAGTTGATGTATCATATGTAATAAGTGGCCATTCGGATTGATATTTAATTATTTGAAATTGGAAAACAATATATATATATATTTGAATGAATTAAAGTATATGATGATATATATGTATTGATGTTTAATGACATCGATATGAGTAATTAAAAGTTTTAACAACTTATTAAATAAAATAGTAAAATGGTTAATTTATTTGTTAATATATAAATTGAACTGAAATTTATTTATATGAAATCCAAAATAAAATAAAAACAATGCTGCTCTGATTGTTTGTTTCTTTTTCTGTTATTTCTATACCCAACCAGACAAAAAAAATGGAAAAACGCGTGTAGATGCTGTGAAATTTACTTTTCTGAGTGTTTTCACGCGGCTAGAGAAAAGCCAACGTGTAAACAGTGGTGGCGCGACCGGGGGGGAGGGTCGAGGGTGTAACCCTCCCCCCCCCCCCAATCGTCGAAAATTTTCGTTTTTTCCAAGCAAAATCCAAAGATTTTCTTGTGTGCTCTTTGAAAAAATGATGGTACACCCCCCAAAAACTTCGCCCCCCCCCCAATGTTGGTCGGTTCGCGCCACCCCTGCTTGTAAACACTGAGAAATCAGAATTATCGCCAGTGAACGCGCACAGTATTCCTCCATCAAATATTTGCAATCGTTTAAACGCCTCGAAAGCAATTATGTTAACCATTTAAAGGCTCATTTTATCCCAAACGCATTTTAAACATAAAAAAGCTGAACCTGATGGCCGTTTTCCATAACATTTATGTTACCTGAAATTAAGCTTTCTTTTCTGGGCGTCTTAACGCTTGAGAATGAAGCGAATTGAGCGTTTTTCCATCCATATATTTGTTTCATTAATTGGTCCTGTATTTCATGTATTTAATTGGAGGCAACGAGGACATCACGACAAAGTGAAACGCAGAATATTTCTTGCAACTTTTATATTATTAATATTCATCGTTAAAACGCCAAGTTTCAGTTATATGTGACCGTTTGAAGGTACAAAATGTTTCATGCTTTTTTGCCAACAAATTTTCTCCGTTTGAGTATCAAGTCTGACTGACTTCTGACCGTTTCAAGGTATGAAATCTTTCATGTCTACTTCTCGTTAAATTTTTGACTGTTGAAACGTTAGATTTGAATACCACAGAGGTGTTTTCAGACGTGAAACTTTTCATGTCTTTTTCTTCGCCAATTTACGCTGTTTAAGTGTCAAGTTTCAGTGACATCTAGTCGTTTTAAGATATGAAGTTTTTTATTTGTACTCTCTATAAAATTTTCATCGTTTAAGCGCCAAATTTCAACGATTTCGAGATCTTTTATTCGATGATTTACTTCACATCTGATTTTGTCTGTCTTTTTTTCGTTTACAAGGATGAGTTTGGCTGACGAGAGGAACTATCCCAAGTGTTACTCACAGATTCGAACGAGATGTATTCCAATCGATAGAGCTCGATGAGCAGAGCACAGTAGTAATAAGTGTTTTTCCCGATAGGCCATTCTCAAAGAATTTTATGGTGAAAATTCTCCAATGGAATATAGCATATGAGCATCAAATTCATCGATTCGTATGTGTGTATCGTATTCCTACTCTTTTCAATGATCAAACTTGACGTTTTATTTCTTTTCTGCGTGGAATGTTCGTTTTCTACGTCTTGTGAATAGTAATTGTATAAGTTATAATGCTGTCCTGTTCATGAACTGTTCTACGACTGACCGTGTATTCTTCTAACTATAATTTCATATAGACAGAGAGAAAAGAAAGGGGAATTATTATCACCGCTTATTCTTTCTTCATTTTTATTTCTCTCTCTCTCTCTCTCTCTCTCTCTGTTCTATGGTTGTACCGTGCTCCTTTGACGAGAAAGCGAAACAAGAGCAAATATAAAATCGTCATGGAGTGATCAAGATCAACTGCGTGATCCTTCTATTCCAGTGCATCTTTCTTTCGCAGCGCGTTAATTTTTTTTTTTCTTCCTTCTCGTATGGATTTTCCCCTTTATGTCATCTACATTATCACATATAGAATTTTCCCTATCATATTCGTTTTATCATTTGGATTGTTCTCTTCGTTCTCTTCGCCACTGTCGGATTTTTCGTACCATGTTTATCTTCATGAATATTTCCATCACGCCCGCTCATAAAACAGAGAACATAAGTTCACAATAAAACATTCCACATTCTACGATCTTCAGAGTGAGCCTCTCTCAACAGGATAATATCCTTTATCAAAATGATAAATATCGCAAATATCGCTAAACGTGCACTCGATGAAGTATTATCAAAAGACATCGCTCGGATAACGAACTTGACAGAGGAGGAAACTTCAATCGCTGATCAAATACTGAATCTGTTGAACGACATTTGTACAAGCGACAGTTATGAAATTGATGATGATACTACTCTGGAGCTCGTCGACAATATTGATATCAATAATACTGATATCGACTTTACGCCTGAAGATAATAGTAGCGACTCCAGTTTCGAATTTACTGCATTTACGTTGGACTGTATGAGAAAAGTTGTAGATTTTGCTCGGCCGGGTATCGCATTTACAACAGTACAACATGAATTTCCACGTGTAAAATATCCAATGCAATTAGCACAATTTCGAGAATATGTGCAAAACGATGAAAATCGTCGATAAAAACTATCTCGCCTTGAATTGTCTGTTCTTGAAAAGTTTAAACAAGCACGCGATGCAAATTTGCCGGTTCACGATACAGACATCCGACGATGGTCATTAGCTCAAGCTACAGTGGAAGGTATCGATAATTTCCTCGCTAGTGATAAATGGTTGTCGAATTTTAAACGACGAAATAACATTCGCTCCAGGAAAGTCACAGAATTCGTTTCAAAACATGAGGTTTTTCAAAAACAAGAAATTCATCAAGCCGGCGAAGAGTTCGTTAGTGAAGTTAAAAAGATCTTACCGAAGTACAAGCTTGAATATATTTTTAATATTAATCAATCAGGTTTTCATTACGAATTTACATCAAATCGTACTTTATCTTTTCGAAATGAAAGATCGACGTTTGTCACCGTTAAATCACTCAACGCCACCGCACATTCGTATACTGTAATGCCACTTGTCAATGCTGCTGGTCAACTCGTTGGTCCTGTTTTCATCTGTTTGCAAGAACCTACAGCTCGTTTTCCGGTAACAAAAGATGTGTTTTCAGCTTCGAACGTGATCGTCACCTGCAGTATATCTAGTAAATTAAATAAATCGTTGATGGAGTATTGGATACAGGAAGTCCTGGACGATGTCACGAACAACCGGTTTCTTCTATTAGTCGATCAATGGTTCATTCAAACCGATAATTCTATTTATGAAGATAATTTAACCAAAGGACAATCTTGTAAATTGATGGTGATACCACGAAAAGTTACATCAACAAAGCAACCTTGCGATCGATATTTCTTTCGTCAATGGAAAAGTTTAGTACAAAGAATCTATCACCATGTATTGATAGATGATCTCAATATTGATTTGAGAGCTCGAGATTCCATTATCAAGATGCAGTCACTCGTTCACAACCAACTTTCTGCTGATATTTTTGTACCAATGATTTCCTATTCATGGTTAGCTTGTGGATATTTTCCGCCAAAATATCTGTCATTTTCGAATATAAATGAAGTTTGCTTCAGCTTCAAGGTAGACCAATGTTCTACCAGTAACTGTAACGGTTATTCATTTATTTCTTATAGTCATTGTCGACACATCCTTTGTTTTGAAAATTTTTTCAATAGTTATCATTTCCATTAATAAAAAGAACTACTTCTCATGCGTCTTTCACAATGAACAAATCTAATATATCCTTGCATAGTATGTGCGATAGAGTTAATATGATCAGACAAATTCTATAAAAAAGACCTATCGGGAGAAACGTTTATTACTACAGTGATCAGCTCGTCGAGCTCTATCGACTGGTATAACTCCCGTCCGAATCTGCGATTAACACTTGGAATAGTTCTCTCGTCAGTAGATGACTGGTATAGAATGCACATTCGTTTTTTAGGAGCACTTAATAATCGAGTAACAACATGGAAAGAGAAAGAAAAGTTTCGACCAGCTTTGCCGGAGTTCATTCTGAGAAAACTAAAGGTTTTGAGGTCAGCTAGGAACAACTACTACCGAAAACGAAGATATGATATCGATCATGAAGCAGAAAGAATTCTGCTAAGAATATTGAATAGAGAGGTACAGGCTCATATCTCCAAATATCGCTCGAACAGGTGGTCTAGCTTTCTAGCACAAATTTAAGAAAGTAGAACTCGTGGTGAAACAAATTTTTGGTCCCATTTGGAGAGATTGTATAAGTCAAAAACACTTCCATTTGCTAAGCTACAAGTGGGAAGTAGAGTTATTGCAGATAAGGAAAAAATAGCTGAAGAACTCTGCAATTACTATGAAGAACAATTTCAACCTCCTATATTTGACAGTAAAGACCCACATGATTTAGTCATTGAGGCCGAATTTCAAGAGTTATTGAAAAATCTTACTAATTCTTCAGAAAAAATTGAGCTAACTAGTGTATATGAAATAGGAAAATGTGTTAGAACTCTCAAGCCCAAGAAATCAACAGGCTATGATTCCGTTTCCAACTTCATGTTGAAGCTATTGCCTCCAGGATACATATAATGCCTTTGTCAATGTTTCAATTTCTGGCTAGTGGAAGGTAGATTTCCAGATACATGTAAAAAGGCGAAAGTTATTACGTTAAACAAGTTAAAGGCAGGCACTCCGACGTGTGAGCAAACCCTCCCGATATCCCTCCTGGCGACACACTCTAAACTGTTTGAGAAAATATTGTTGGTACGGATTCGAAGTTGGGCTGAATCAAACAACATTGTTTCTACGGAACAATCAGGGTTTCGGCCCAATTGTCTAATTCCCACAAGAGTTTTGCCTATCCTACAAGAGGTTCATAACAATTTGGATGCGAATGTGCCTACCCTGTCGGTGTATATTGATTACAAGAAGGCTTACGACAAAGTTTGGCACACCGCGTTAATGATCAAATTACATCGATTTGGGATACCCATTCCGCTTTTGAAGGTTGTGTACTCCTGGCTTACCGCGCGAAAATCCTTTGTTCCTTCTGGCGAGAAAGAAACCAAAGAGTTTTAAATATGCCTTGGGCTTCCACAGCGTAGTACCCTAAGTACATACTTATTTATAGTGTATCATGCGGACCTGATACTCAGTACAGGTGCTTTTTCTGCACATATATTCGCAGATGATCTGAATGCACTGATTAGAGCCCCAATTGAGAAAAAGCTCGAACCAATGCTTCAATTCTTAGAAAAGAAGGGTTCGAAGGTGTGTAATAGACTGTATGCATATACATGTAGGTGGAAGCAGCCGATAAACATAGACAAAACTGGCTATTAGGTTTTTCATTCACAAGTTAGTCTTCGACCATTAACAATAGCGATGAATAATACACCACTCGAATGTGTAAATGATTTCAAATATCTAGGATATACATGGACCAGTAAGCTATCCATGTATAAATCAGTTGCTAACTATCTAGGGAAGGTGCTACGATCCTATGTGAAATTAAAATGGTTGAGTCACAGCAGAGTGATGTTCACCGAGGTTTTGAGACAATGCTTCTTTGCATACACATTCCCCATTTTCGCTTGGCTTTTCTGCCTCTTCCCATTTCTTCCGATTACACAACAACAGCTACTAAAGCGGAAATTTGGAGTAGACTTAAGGCTAGTACATCGCTGCCACTGGATATCAGCACATGAACTATACAAATTCACAAAAGAAAACGACTTGGATCATTATGTGAAAAAGTTCATTCGAAGGAGACTTAGCAAAATGTATAGGTCAGATCTTGCATCCTCATTATTTCTGAACGATATATCTTTTTGGGCCGAATTTAAAAAAAGGGGAAAAGATGGACTAGGTCATTTCTTTCAGCAAAAGCGAGTAAAGGAAATGATAGTGAATCACAAATCTCTTTTAGTGGTATGGTCGGAATTTGTTGAAGACAAGTGATCCTAGCAGAACAGGTAAACAACGCAAGTTTATACACTATCTCTCTGCGTCTATAGCTTCCCTTCGTTTGTTTTTATTGTTCCCCTTCCTTTCCCCTTTTTTTCTTCTCTCTCCTTTATCCTACCTGCACATGTCACAACGTAATCTCAGTTTCTTAGTCGATTGATTGTGGTATTCCTTTTTTCCTTCTGTTCACACTTGGAATCTTGTGTTCCTTTTTTCTAACTTGTATCTTTATATTGTAAACGCTCCAGAGCGTAACAATAAACTTTCCCCCGGCAAAAAAAAAAAGTTGACTATAACTTAATTTAAATGTATAGGATCAATTATTTTTTCTTATGTTTTTCAACTTTCTAAAAATTTCAAGTCTTTTAATAGCTTTGTTTAATTTTGCCTAAAGCTCAATTTTGTCTGACACATATACACAAATTTAGAAAGCGAGAGATACGACTCTTTCAATAGTGCAATACTTTACATATACTACTAGTGTCATCTGTTATCTTGTTGTTGATTGAAAACATATACGCACTAGTCATAATGTCTTTGTCGAACAAAAAATGAGAGGAGAGGAATCTTTTTTCTTTCTAATAAGATAGTCTAATATTTTCCTTTTTTTGTTGTTGTTATGGTTAGAATATGTATGTATTCTCACTTTTTCTTATTATATTAAGTTTATGTAATTTTTTTTAGAATTATATTATGGTTTTTTCTTATATTTTATCATATGTATTAGTAGAGTTTGAAAGGGACCAGAAAATCATCATCTGTATTTATTTCTTTTAGATATAAAATATCTTGATTATTTTGTTTGAAATTCTTGTTTATTTTTTATTAATAAACTTGCTTTATCAAGGCATCTTTTAAACAAGGCCTATAGATAATGAAAGATTTTTTTAATCTTATTATCATCTCCTTTTGATGTTAAAAGACTACTACTATGTAGTTAAATATCGATTTAAATCAATTTTATCCTTTATTGAAATACTGTAACAACGTCAATATAAAGTACACATTTTTACATATATATATTGTAATTGATTATTTTTCAAATTGAGATAAATTTATTGAAAGTAATTCTATTTTCAAAACAAGTAAGTTAAAATCGAAATACGAGATTTCAGATTGAACTTCATTTTAAATGAATTTTTTCTTTAATCTTATTTTATTTTCTATAAGATTCAAATAAAGTATTTAGATAAATATTTATTTTCTAGAATGGTATTATTATTATGTGAAATATATAGAAGTTCATGATTTATAATCATTAGATTAAGTTATTAAAAGTAATAGAAGTTAAGAATTGTTATGTGTTGAAAAGATTGTTAGATGAAGAAGTTCTTTACAATTAATTCTTTTTTTTTTAAAAAGCAAGTTTTGATTGTGTTTTTTTCTTTAGAAAATAATTAGCTTCATCAACTTTGACAGAAGAAATTGTATTCAACGATATACTTTTGCTTCAGACATATCAAAAATAAAAATTAAATTGAATAAAATTTGTTCTGATTTGATTGATTAGGAATCTTCATATTTATTCAAACTCGTTCTATTAAACACATTGAGAAAGTATTATTGATATATTCTCATGAGAATCTATAAATTTAATCTCATTTGTATTTTAATAAAAACGGTAA